CTCAAGACCTGTAAAAGTTGCAGGGCTGAAACTTTGGGAACTTAATTTACATGCAAGTGCGGGTCCCAATCCCCAAAATGGGCGCCATTACCCGCGTGATACCTGCGTACAGGCCGGCCATAGTTTTTTACGGGTAAGTTTATAACTCGGGGATCTGAGATTCAAAAAGCTCAAATCTTAGAGGAATGTTTCCCGTCCAAGTGGGTATTAGTGAGTTCAAACCCAACCCTAGGGTGAGCGTGGTACCTGCGTATGGGCCCGCCAAAATTTTTTTTGGGTAAGTCCATAACTCGGGGATCTGAGGAGCTAGAAAGATGAAATCTTAGGGGGATCTTCCCCGTCCAGGCGGGTATTAACGAGCTCAAATCATGCCCGCGGGTAAGCGTGGTACCTATATACAGGCCCGTGGAGGTTTTTTTCGGGTAAGTTGCTAACTCGGGAACGTAAGAAGCTAGAAGACTGGAATTTTGAAGGGATGTTTCCTGACACTGGCAGCCAGTCTGAAATTCTTTTAGCTGGAAGCATCAGCCAGAAAAACCAGTGACGTTAGCGATAAAAATCTGCGGGGAACTATGCAAAAAACGCATCTTCGCACGGGCAGCCCGTGCGTTGACCAGTTATTATAAATTTAGGATATATTGAGCTTATTGTCTGTTTAGCTCAATGGAATGTTGAGATTTTGTATTAGTTACTATTTGTGTAGTTTATTCGTGACTCGCAACAAATTATTTTAGCCAGACGCGCGCCGAGGTCGAATTTCTCGCAGTCCAAAGAGCAAAACAAAGACAGAAGTGGTGCACAGGTTATACTTAATTAAGATCATCATATTAATAATTAGACGAATTACCTCGATGAAAACTTAACTTGCCACAATCCTGTTTGTTGTGCTTTTTTGCTGTGGATGCAGCCAGCGAATTCCCTATTGGAATGGATTAATTTTGTATCTGTACATAAGTGGATTTTTCGTTGACGGGTTACTTAGCTCAAGAGCTATCAGTTCCGAACTTGACAGACACTTACTGATGTTATTGATAACATTGGACTGCTTTTGATAGTTGTGAAACTTTTTTAGAATATTTTGCCTTGTTAAGTTAATCGTCTGACAAAGTCTGCCTTGTTTCAGGATATCCCTATATCTCAGCAACAGAGGATATCAGTATGTGAAGAAGGAAGCATAAATGAGATGGCCGGTGAATTCAGGAGGTATCTTCGCAGATTTAATTCTCTAACAGCGTAGTATGAAGTGTTTTCCACTACATGCGGATGCATTTGCTTCATAGCATTCTCCGGAACTCTTATCCGTCAAACTTTGTGAAGCAGAATTAATTTGGTAAAATTTTTGATCCCGTCGGTCAGACTGCCTCCCTGTTGATAGTTTTGAGTGATTTTCAGAAACGAATGCGATGAGCTGGTGACTGAAGTGCATGGCGAATCTGCTATGATCAGAAGGGTTGATGACAAGGTAAGAAGTAGAAACAGTGGAGGCTGTATCCGAACTGGAACTGACTTATTTGGAACACTTCCATTTTTATGCGTTTTTGCAGGGACGAGAGGCTAAGTTTGTGTGTGTGTGTTTGTTTGTTTGTTTGTGTGTGTGTGTGTATGTGTGTGTGTGCGTATGTAATTATGTATGTGTATGCATATGTAATTATGTAGGTGCATTCGCATTTTCGTCACCATTTTCAATTCAGCAACCAGTGAAGCTAGAAAGCTGAAATTTTTGAAGCACATTCACATCCTATGTGTGATTTTAAAATCATCCTCTACGTACGTCTATATCTCATTTTGGGGCGCCTAGGAAAATTTATGAAAATTTTTAGCCAAAAAAATTTCGGGAACTAGACGAGATAGAAAGCTGAAACTTTACAGGGATATTCTATACATTTGTGTGTTTGAACACACGCGCACGTTAGGTGTATAGGCACGTCAGAATTGCGATTTTGTGGCAGCTCCTAAAATGCCAACTCGGGAACTAGGCTGACTAGGTCTGTTTTACGAGGATATTTGTTTTTTATGTGCGAGTCCGTATATGTGAAATGAACATTTGTGTACGCCTGTATCACGCATACGGGCATGTTAAATTATTTTTGGCGAGAAGGCGATTTTTGGAGACATTTGGGCTAGGAAGCTGAAATTTTCTGAGAATATGACAATGTTTGCTAGTCCAAGCGATTTCACTACAGTACGAAATCGTGCAAAAATGCATGATCGCACCGGAAAGCCCGTTGCGCGCCGCAGTTTATTTATATTAAAGCGAACCTCTATGTGATCATCAGATTGTCATTAGCGTCGGTTTGTTAAGACATCTGCGTTTCAGGATTACCGCATTTTGCTCGAAAGACTGGATGAACTTGAGAAGGAAGAAAAAGAGGCCGATGAGCATGCAGTGGATGAAAGGTCAGAAAGTTTTCCTACTTTATCGCAGCAAACCCAGCATTGATATTAGTATTGTAATTGCATCGTGTAGTCCGGACAGATAGTTCTTAAATTTGGGCCTTTGCTATAAAAAGTTGCCCTTTGCGGTCATGAACCATGGTCATTTGATAGGGTTCGTTTATTCGTTTAAAAGGTGCTTCGATTCAAGTGATACCTTAAAGGATGGTGTAAAGCACTAAAGAAATGTAAGAAAAACGCATTCTGTTACAGTTTTTTTATGAAGTAAATTTTTTAGCAGCAGTCTCGATTCGGATGATTTTCCTGACGATGTAGATCAGGACATCCTACCTCATGCGTTCAACGACGTGAACAAAGAAGCGGCCGGCGAAGTAAAAGTAGAGGCGGCACTCGTTGAGAAGGATTGTCCCAAAGAAGCAAATAATAACAAATCCATGGAAAGGCGTACTGTTCGTTTCAAAAGTGAGGATGAGGCCTATTCAGCAGTAGCTTCGCCAGACACGCCTTCCATTTCGCAAGGATCATCATCTGGCATCGAGCCAAAAGTGGTTTGCACCTTTGAATATGAATTTCTTTTTTTTTAAACAAAATGTTTTTTTGATAACATAGCAGTAACTCAGAAATTTTTTAATTTTTTGTAAATTGTAGATTGTAAATGCGGAGCCGCGTTTCTCTTCTTCATTGCCA